GTTCAGCATGCCTTGCCTAGTTCATCTCCGTTTCCAATCCCATGGGACGTATCTGTGTAGTGAGCACCCCAATGCCAGACTCCCGTTGCTCTTATAGCGTTCACTGGTGGATCCAGAAAGATGGTTTTGGACGCTGCAGGGGGGGGGGGGGGTAGACCCAAAAAAGGTTCTCCAAGTTCCAAAAACTCAGCGCTGTTCAATTTCTTACGGCCTGCTGTGCAGTTAAATTAACCCGCGCCCCGTGGGGGGGGGGGGGGGCGAAACGGCCCCCCCGCTGTCCTTTTCCGTCGATATCTCCTAAACGGCTGGAGATATCGCCACCAAACTTAAAGGTCCCCTCCGAGCATCAATTTTACACATTGGGACAAAAATTTTTCCAGAGGCTATTGTAGGTTGGCCACAATTGACGTCAGAATGACGTCATGTTCTGCCATTTTCGACCGAAAAAAGACCTTCGCGAGAAGAGCTGTCATGCCTACAGCTTTGAAGATACAGAAAAATGGTCAAGACATGAAAGGTGTATAATTGACAGGGCTACAAAACTGCTATCTCGGATTTTCGAAATTTTTGAGTTTTGACCCCCAAAAATCAAAAATACGATTTTTCGGATATATTAGCCAAAAAATCCAGAAAGTTTTTTGAGTTTCGAAAAAACCGGAATATATGTGATAGTACCTACCGTCTTCTATCTACATACCAAATTTCAGATCGATATCTCGTTTTTTGGCCAAGTTATAGCGAAAAAACTGTTCTAAAATGATGACGTCGAATATTCAAACTCAATTTTTGGCAATTCTAGACCACGTAGAGCAAAACAAAGACCATCATTGGACTCCCCGTGACAAGCTGCATCGAATCAATACCCATTTTATGCAAAAATATCAACTTTGAAATTCCTAATATGACCTGACCTTGACCTGACCTTCACCAAAACGTGACCTAAGCTGGCCCCAAAGGCTGCCTGACCCACATAATCGCATTTGTCATGTAAAATGGACCACAAAACATGTATCACACGACACTTTCATGTTGTGACCCCCAGGTGACCCCCAGTGACCTGACCTCTGTGACCTGACCTGGTATCAGTGACCTCAGATAGCGAAGTATGTGTTTGACGAACAATGTACCATCGATGGTTTTCAATAACTTACCAATTTACTCGATTTCACAACACATTTCTTGAAATGCCTGTGAACGGTGAAAATCCAACCTTTGACCTGACCTGTGACGTCATCGGTTTGACCTAGGTCAATGAAATTTGGTCACAAGGTAGCACCCGGGTGGGGCTATCGAACGCCGTTTGAATTTTGAAAATCGGCCGGTAAATTTCCGAGATCTTAGGGGGGGCCGAAACGGCCCCCCCCCCCCTACGGGTGGTAGGGTCCGCCGGTAGCCCTACGGGGCGCGGTTTAAAACAAATTTGTCCTGATAAAAGTTATTAAGTTTTCGTTCAGGATTCGAAAACGGCAAAGTTTCGTCGATTTCGGGCGATGCGGGGGAGCTTTGTGCCAAAGCCCCCCCCCCCGGAACAGCCAGTGATAGCGGTGCTAGTCACAAGGAGTGAGCAGCCGAGATGTCGCAAATAAAGATGGTTTTGGCTTATGGGTTGGTCTGGAAGCATTGAAAGAAACCGAACGGTTGCGGATGAACGTCACAATCGACATTATCTCGTGGGTACTGACTATTTAGAGGCAATTTAGCAGCGGGGAATAGCCTGCAAGGCTAAACGTTATTTTTTACTTTTCATTGCGTTCTATTGATAAATGCTTCACCTTTTGGCGTGCCCTCTAAAGGGCCAGAGACATTTTTGAATGAGAGATGCATGACCACAACTACTCACAGTTACCCCGCGGAGCCTGGGCCACCGCTCCGCACCGGGCGGGCCCGGAGTGTGCCGACCAGTCCCCGCCCCCCGGCCATTGTGGCATCTGTCACTGGGTCCAGAGACGAACGTCACCAAACCCCAATCAGTGGGTCTAATCAGCCGTGAGACCCTCTGCGTGCGGCAGTGGACAGAGACGGGCCAATGAATACAAATCACCGCCCGACCGACGGGCCCGACGGGTCCGGCCGGACCTAACCAGCGGGGGATGCCCGGTCTCATTTGGAGCCGGAAGAGTGACGCGGGACAGTGCAGAGAGTGAGAGAGAGAGAGAGAGAGAGAGAGAGAGAGAGAGAGAGAGAGAGAGAGAGAGAGAGAGAGAGAGAAAGAGAGAGAGAAAGAAAGAGAAAGAGAAAGAGAAAGAGAAAGAGAGAGAGAGAGAGAGAGAGAGAGAGAGAGAGAGAGAGAGAGAGAGAGAGAGAGAGAGGCGAGTCAGCGCCGGAAGAGTGACGCGAGCCACTAGCCAGCTCGGCCGCCGACACAAGTCCCAGTTTCATGGAGAGGAGGGGGAGGTGTTATGAGCATCACATATCCTACGACGTAAATATTCACAAAATACTGCCAGTCTAGTTATCACTGGGCTGCTGGTCGATCTCAGAGCTCAATTACCTGCAGAGATGGGTCCGTACTCGTGTGATGAGCTGCATGGTTATACCTAGGGCGACGTGAAATAAGCGTAGGAAAGTAACTGTAAGGAAACTATTTGTTCGCGTGAAGGTCATGAGTCTTCAAACTCTAATCGAGAGGGAAAACGTTTAGAGCGCAAGGGCGTTTGCTGTGTGAGCAATGAGACCAACTGTCCTGCAACCGTGGTCCGTATGGATATCCTTTACGTTTCAGTAGTCAGTTGTGAGCTACCACTTCTCTCTCACACGCCTCATATCTCGTACTCTCGCGTTACGTGAGCTGCAGCTGCGGCTGCGTGCGGTCATACACCATCGTCTCTAATGTCCTCACTCACGCGCCGGCTGTCAGCACGGTGTGCACAACCCACCGAGATCTATTTAAACGCGTGATTGCTCACGGAAGCCGTGACAGATCCTTCTGTGTGTGCTCTGTAAACAGACGGAGGAGCGGGAACGGGCGAGGCGGGACACTCGCCCGCCCGCCCCCGCCCCCGCCCTGGCTGCGCCGCCTCCCTGCCACGTTCTCTAAAATCACGCCGGCACGCGGTCGGCCGCCGCTCCAGGCTCGTTCCCACGCTCTGGGGTCAGCGGGGATGGGTGAGGGGCTGACCCCGGGCGGGGAGGCGCGCGTCCGAGCCGTGCCGGCGGACTAACGCAATTAGCGCACACGGACCGTCGTCAGGGAGGGAATAATTTGGGGATTTAGGGAGGGAGGGAAGGAGGGAGAGAGAGGGAGAGAGAGAGAGAGAGTGAGAGAGAGAGAGAGAAAGAGAGACAGAGAAAGAGAGAGAGAGAGAGAGAGAGAGAGAGAGAGAGAGAGAGAGAGAGAGAGAGAGAGAGAGGAGAGACGTGCTTTCGCTCAATATATCCCTACTTTACTTCCTTTTGGTCTCCGCATTTTGAGAATTTGAAGTGTGATACCATGCCCAATGTCCATGCTTATCTTTTTATGTATGATGCGGTTACATACACCCATACACCGAATGATCACGGATTGTCACAAATTGTCAAGGATAATCAAGGGTCGTCACAGATCGTCACGGGCTAGCAAAGTTTATTTACTGGCGATTACGGGGTATCATGAACGGGTCTGTTACGAGCTATCACCTGCTCAGCTACTTATTGTCCAAAACAGTCATTGATAGACACAGGTTGTCACGGATCATCACAGGCTGTCACGGATCGTGACGGTTCGTTTGATTTCGCTACGTATGATCCCTGGTCGTCCTATATCGCCACAGATGGCTATAAGACGTCATCATATCCGTCTTATATCTTCACAGATCATCACGGGTCGTCTTCTGTTGCTGCAGAATCTCACTGGTCGTCCCTGGCTATCTCAGATCGTCACAGATCGTCACCACCTCTCCTGTGAAACCGTTACGGCCCGCCGAGACACCATCCGTGACGCCTCGTCACGGGGCAGGCCTGGAGGTCATCACGGGTGGTCGGGTTACCGATCCGCGCCGCTCCGGTCGCGTTTGTCCCCGGACCGTTCCTTCAGCGCGGTATCTGAATGTTGGCAGCTCAATGGGAGACGGAGGCTCCCAAATTCCGCAGAGCGCGTGCGCTGAAACGGCGCAGATAGGACGTGATGGATGGAGTTTGGAGGAATTTGGGGAAAGGAATTTGGAGTGGAACGCATTGGAGAGTGTTCCAACAGTTGCCCGGTTGATATGCCTGTAAAAATATGCAATAAATAAATGACGAACTACTTGAAACGATGCACTGTTTACGTCTATGAGGAACGGATGACGCTTGTCGCTTGATGTTTGAAACCACTACACGGCAACCGGCGTTTCAGTTTTCACATCACTGATCAATTAAAAGCGGACCACTCAACGCGCTTATTTATTGGTAGCTGTGAATTACGAAAACCAATTCAAACATGGTTTGCTATCGTGATTAGTGGTCAGTGGTCGATTTTAACCAACGAACTAAATAGAACTAGGGATCAAGCACACTTATAAACCGTTGAAGCGCATCGTGTGTGTATATAATATAAACATAGACTGAAAAAATAAATTACCGAATCGCATGGCCGGGAAGTAGCCATCCGAATCGCATGTATAAAATTCGACACTTGCGACCAATATCGCAGAAACAAATACATCGACACACTAGTGCGCGTTGATGTGGTGAACCGGCTTTCGAGAGATGCTTATCAATCTCAGAATATAGTGCCAATTATTGTACTTAGATGGAAGATGTGTATTTTACGCCTATTTTTTAAACAAAGTAGTGAGTAAAATGCGTTTGTGCTCGCTAGACAAGCTCTTAAGCCCATTCCCGTTTCCAGACGAGGAAAAACTGACTCCGAGTTACATCATGTGACACCGGACATTGCCATTGAATCTCCAAGCAGTTCCGCTGTGAGCCGGACACAAGTCAGCGCAATGCGGTGAGCACGCGCCCACCATCCCGCCGCCTCCCTCCCGCGAGGCGCCTCCCCCACCCCTGGGACTTGGGAGACCCTCGTCCGTTCTAAATCTGTCCTCCTTCCGTTTCCTCCGCGCAGGCGACTCGCTGACGGCGCCACACACAGGAGTGCAGCCCCGGCTGGAGTGCGGACCAGACCACCGGACCATCGGATCGTCGTACCTTCGTCCGTCCCACCCCAGCGGCTCTCAGTCGCGCACTGTGAGCCGTTTCTCACGCTGGTTCCCACACCGGCGTCGCGTTCCCACGTCGGCCGCCTTCTCCGGGCGCGCGCGCCGCCGCCGCCGCCGCGCCAGTCCGCGCGCGCCGCTGTTCCTTACCTGTTGGCGTGACGTCACTGGTCGCCCAGCCATTGGAGATTGTGTCGCAGAGGTGTGCAGGTCGCTCTCCGAGGTGCTCGCCATAATTTCTGGTAAGTGGATCGATTTGTGCCACCCTGAGGAAGCCCTGGTCTCGGCGGCTCGTGCTGGGGTGCGAGAGGACTATTTTTAATCCCGGTGGGAGGTGTCCCTGGAAGTTTGGGGAGTGCTGCCCTGCCCAGCTGTGAGGATGACACACTCGCTCGTCGCCATGTTGAGGGTCGATGGCATACCGAAAAATGGCAAAATAAAATCGATGATCATTCTTCAAGGCGTTGTTTGAACCATTCTCAGTGTTTTTGGAGGTATTTAGACGAAATTTCTGCGGTAATTTGGCCACCGACGACAGCTCCGGGGGCGGAGGAGGGGGGACGCTGCTGGTCACGTGACCAGTGGAGCAGACGTCACCCGATCGATGCTCGTTGGTTGGTCGGCCGTGGCCGGCGGCGTGGCACGAGCCTCCGAGAGACCTGGACTCTGCCGTCTGCCCGAGCGGGCCGTGCAACAATGGCAGGCCGCGAGGCGCCCGCTCATGAACGGAAGCCCGCCGGGAGCGGTGGAAAAAGTTGAGCTAGGTTGATAGTGGTCATGGTTACATATTGGAAAACTGGGGAGCTGAAAATCACCCTCAGAGATGTGCCAAATTGATGGCTGCCATTGCATGCAATGTTGCACCGATGCCTTCTCCAGGGTGGTCGAGGGTGGCGCCACCTATGCTGAGATCCATCAGAGTCCTACAGTAATCGCAGTACGCAACTCCCATCGCTCTTGACATTGGAAGCGAGCTTTACGTTAGTAAACCCCGCATATGTTGCAAAAAAAGGTTGTCAATAGATTATGCTTCTCTACGCTATGAAATGCGATCTCATTTAACCTTTCATTTAGACTAAGCTTCCCTCCACAAGACAGTGGATTACCTACATTTACCAGAAGTTGTTTTATATCTAGAATTGAGGTAGGATGCCCATGCCATCCATCATAGGAAGGTGCGTTTTTTATTATTTCTTTCTCCTTAATACCTGAGTAATGACGTAAGCTGCAACTATTACGAATTTCTATCGATGCCTAAGCACTTCGCTTTTTTGTTGGATAAGATAAAGATACAGAAATGTAGCATCATTTCATTTTAATGGACCTTCTTAATCTTATCATCCAAACAAGAAAATGGCAGCCATACCCTAAAAAAATGAACATATTTGTCTCAGACAATGCCTCACCGCGTAAAAGTCGCTTGTCCTGTTTTTTTTTTTTTTGCGTTGATGTAAGATTCTGTTCCTTATAGACCTAAAGAAGAATGCCGGTATCATTGTCTGTCATAGTGTACTAAATAGGCAACTACTGGTTATTACATTTTAGTTGGTTATACAAACTCCAACTATCAGCCCTTCTTCCATACCACAGTCATACCTACAGTATTCTGGCAGCGCGTTTTGGCTGGCTCAGAAAACAATGGCCATTTTGTCGTCGTGACATTTATCACTGACTGTTATCTGATCATTGGATCGTTCCCCATGTGTTCAGCATTCCTTCCACGCGTTCTCCTTTCAACCCAAGCAGCCTGTAGTATTCACTTACCTATTCGCACAGTTATGCCATCGACCTTGTTTGCATCGTTTTTTTTTACGAATCATAAACATAGTCGTTGGCCCTTCTTTTCTCTGAATATTTTTTGTTACTTACGAGTATGCATAACTATCTAAAGCGATGCAATAAACATTTTCTACAGGAGTACACGATAGGCAACCGTTCCATATTCCGGCCTAATACCTTGAGCATAAAACACATTAGCAAACACCCAGTCTTGCATTTGCACTGAATTGAACAACACCGATGCAAGCAACCATACATTGAAAGGTTGGCTGCACCATCAGACCTGTTCTTCCACATTAGCATCTACCGCTGCTCATTGAAAGCCTGCCTAACGCACCATGAAACTCACCGCTCACACGTTTCGACACAGACGCACATCCAACGCGGCTGCGCCGAGTAAAATTTACATAATCACCCAAACACCACTCGGTATTGCTCAATGAAATGCTCCGCACCACATCGCCCTCCAATATCGGGTTATTTGCATATGGCGCGTGTACTGAATGTGCGCCGGGAATAATCGTGTCATTAATCGAGCCCCCAAACCATGAAATCGCTATTGGTTGGGAGAGGGCCGAAATGAAACATGCAATCAACCGGATTCCTGCTGTCTATCAATCCTGAACAGTGACATAAGCCAAGAGTGATCGAAATTGTTAACAACATCGGAAAAAAGCCTGAAAGATAGGGGACTGGGGAACGAAAATTGAAAATAGCTATAAACTAAATTAACAATATTTTGGTTGCCGCTGACACCAAAATAGCCTGCTGGTTAACCGTACTTTTAGTTTCCTATATCATCCAAAGAGCCTGCCTGGCTTATATGATGCTCGTATACCTGACGCTACATCTAAGAAGTACACCACTCTCCAGCGGTCGGTAAGCCGTGGGCTGCCGCTGAGGCCGGTATCAGGAGCACGCGACCGACCCGCGTCCTCAATCACACTTCCGCTTTGGCGATACGGTCCCTTGTTAGCGCAGTACCGAACCGCCGACCCAGTGGCTATCAAACCTGTGCGCCTAGCTCACCGTTCTTCCTGGCGTGTTGGATGACGCAGTGTCGGCTCGGCTGTCAAACGCCACTCCCTGAATTTCATACAGTTTATATTCCTAATGACGTGTGGGTTTGTACATACACCCAATACGATAAACAATTCAATACGGCACAGCTTTGCAGCGTTGTTCAGTATGGAACATCATTATGTAGTCATCTGTACAATACAATTACAACGCAATAACAGCTTAACATTTCACTCAATACCTATAATGTGTGTACATACAGGGTGTTTCACAATAAATGTTACTTTTGAATAGCTTAAATGAAAATCTTACTTGTTCGTAAGCGTGTAAATTTTATATGCATTTTGCTGCAAATTTGTTGCGGTTTTTAGTCCTTATATTTTTTTTACAAACCGTCAACGGTTCTATCAGTATGGACGTGCAATGCCAACACCGTCAAAACGGGTCAATTCGCCGTGTACGTACAGATGATAAGGCGGTATGGGTGGTCATGCATTACGGCGCTTTGCGGAGTCTGACCGCAGTGCGACGGAGTTTCGGTAGCCATTTTAAAAGGAGGAAGAATATTCCGTCAAAAATGTCTTTCAAACGGGTGGTAGAAAGGTTCCAGAAGACTGGAAACACGAGACCAGCCCCGCCTCCTGGCCGGACGGCGATCCCAGAAAATCTGGTTGAAAAAAGTCAGACGGAAGGGTGGCATAGTGGAGAACCCGTGAAGGGTGCTGAACTGAAAGTTATATGTTCATCAGTCCTACTGTTCTGTTGTCTATGTGGTAATACTCATGACTCATGAGCCATATTGTAATACATGTCACTGAAACATCGTCGTTTGAAAAGCAACATTCATTGTGAAGGACCCTGAAGCTTAACAGCAAATTGACCCGTTTTGATGGTGTGGACATTGCACGTACATAAAGAATGCAGTTGATGATTCGTCATAGTTTTTGTAAGGATAAAAAAACCGAAAGAATTTGCAACAAAATGAATATGGAATTTATGGGCATACGAATAGTTGAGGTCATTTTAAAAGCTTATCAAAAGTAACGTTTATTGTGAAACACCCTGTACATACAGTAGGTCCACAAAATAAGTCCCCGCCGAATGCGGGTCACCAGTGGGCAGTTAGCACCTGAGCGTTACTCGGGCGCCACCTGCCCGCATACGGAGAGGACTTATTTTGTAGACCTACTGTACAGCACCGCAGGTATAATGTTTCCTGGCAGCTGATCACTTTACGGACGACCCCACATTTCCAGACTGCAACCAATCACATCAGATAAAGCAACGCGTCCCTATGCGGTCTCTGAGCAGGCGATGCCTTGGTGGTCGCCGCGGCCCAACCACTGCGGTGTCGAATATCGTAGCGTTGTGTGACATCGGATCCCTCCTAGACGCTTGGTTCGAGTAATGCGTCGGACAGCAGTGTTCTTTGAAAGATATAAACCATCGCAGTCGCACGGTACATCTTTCATCGTCGTTTACCATCAACGATGGTGACGATTTCCGTCTTTGTCTTTGTAGTTTTACTCATGCGTAATGCTTCATAGTCCAGCAGCTTACCTACAACTCATTATTTCCGGTAGGTAATGCCAGTTCCGCAGGTGACATGGACGAACTGTTCCTATCGCAACTTAGTGGTAGTCGGGCCAGTGGCTCACTCAGGGAGTGTGGCTAAGTGTTAGGTGATTTCAGCTGCAGCGGAGTGACTCGAATCCAGTATCATCTCTCATCGTAAGAAGGTAATTTCTACTGAATCACCTCGCATATGTGAAACCACGGCCTCTTCCTTCATGTCCCCTTCATTTGCCGCAAAGCTTCTGCCTTTCCCTCGCACCAGATGGCCGAGCTTACACAGTCCTTCTAAATAGAACAGTTCTCCAACGCTGAACGCGCTGGCGACCCGCGGCCGAAATCCGACAGACAATCTCCTGATCGGACGCTCTCCTCCGTGCGTGGGCCTGTCAAATAGAACTGTAAAAACTCGTCGGCGGGCCCGTTCCATTGTTGTCTGTCTGTGGTGGTTGCGCGGCAGTGCGCATAGATCACCGACCGATGAAATCGCTCTCTGGGTGCTAATGGGAAGCCGCACACATGACGGGGAGCTCGGGCACCCTCCCCCCGGTAGCTGATTTCTATGGTAATCGGGTTAGAGCTCTGCGGGAGTGCGATGCGGGCTGAGCGGCGACTGGCGATGATTATCAGGCGGTCCGGATAGCTCCCACAGTGAGCACACCCAGAAACTGTTCGCTGTATTGTCCATGCAATTTTGCCTCTCCTTCGGGGAATTGGAAATATTGCAAAGTTGGCGGAAAATCTCTGCGACATGAGAAATACTTTTACGTTTACACCATAATCGCAAAAATTTATGGGAGCACCCTGCGTTGAAATACAGCATTCCGGCTCCTATCAGACCATTGAAAATAACGTGCCCAGCGTCCATCAGCACCCCGTGAGCTGCACCCATCAGTTGCACCCCCGCGCGGCATCCCACTCCCACCGCCTGCTGAGCGGCCGTCATCGGGCTGCGATCGACCTGTTTCCGCTCTGCGGACTCCGCCAGGTCGTCGGCACGTAGTTGTTCGGCCGCAGCGCTATTACGTCCGCGTTTGGCGCGCGCGCGCCGGCCGCTTTGATCGCGCCGCGTGGCCCTTTGATCGCGCCGCGTGCTGCGCGGGCGCGCGCGCACGTGCACGCGCGGGGAAACCATGGAAACGCGAGCGATTATCGGCCCCGGAGGCGTTGCACGTGAGCCGCACGTGTGTCGGCACGTGCCTCGTGCGTTGGCATTGTGTGGTGTTTTCCGTAATTTTGGCAAGCGACCGGCGGTGGTCACGTTTTTCCTTGGGAAAGGGGACCTCTTTGGAGGGGTGCGGCGATTGGGCAGTGGGGATTCGGGCTCCCAGTGACGAGCAAAAATCACCCCGTTCCGCTCTGATGGGGAGAGACGGGGAGGACCGCGGGAACGACTCATTTTCAGACAGCTTTCATGTGCCCGGGTAAACGTGCACATATTGTGCCGGTAGCATAGCTGTTTAGTGAATGTGTCATTTGCATCGGGTCAGTAATATATATGACTAGACCGATAGGCATTTTGATGATATTTGAACTACGTTTGTTTGATACATGTGCTCCAATCCTTTGTTTCAGACATGGGCAATGAATTGCTTTGAGTGCCTCAAATCTCGGACGGACTCTCCTGACCATCTGAAAGCCCAGGTGAGCAAATATAGGTACATATTGCGGCTGCCCCAAGGACTCTTGGAAACAAATAAATATTACATACCTACACATCTCATTACTGGTTCCAAGCTAATTACTGGTTCCAAGCTATTATAGCGATGTGTATGGCAAACACCAGCAAAATAACGCTCATTTTCAGTAATAAATGAATGGTCACCGTAACGGATGTAACATATATCCCTTTTTATAATTAATCTCGTATAAAAGTAAAGGATAAACCTCTTCCTCCTTGTCCGCTATCAGTACCGACAATCCAGACCTATATCTAGGTACTTGGAAAACTTATGCCGGCTCTGTTCCCCGTTTCTAGCCTGCACCTGTGAGCAGCGCTCCGGCGGCCGGGCCAGGTCAGACTGTCGTGGGGATCGAGCGGGCGTCCGGTGGCGTCAGCCAGCCCAAACGGCAGGCCAAGTTCGCTTACCTCGAGGAGGTGCTCAAGTCACAGAAAGGCATGGCGGCACTGAGGGAGTACATGGCCACTGTGCAGCAGGAGCACGTGCTCGACTTCCTGGAGGATGTACGTCGATATAGGTAAACTAAAAACAGACACTTTTTGGAATCCAGGTCAAGGCAAAGGGCACACACATGTGTCATTTTGTATGGCGATTATAGCCTCGCTGTAAAGTTGAAGACGATTTTTATAATATTGCACGCAATGTTGTTTATATATTATAACTTGCACTTTCTAGTCCTCTACCTAAAAATAGTTTTTTTTTTCTGGGGAAGCGCACTCAGGGGAGTCTTTAGCTTTGTTTCCGCTGTAGGTACCGATCAGTCCCCTTTTACACGCTCTAACCAGCCCTGACCCCTTCCTCTACGGCCAGGAGCGAGTCGGACGCGGCGGCACGCGCCAAGTCGGCGCAGACCATCTTCTCCAGCTACCTGGCCGTCTGTGCCGAACGGGAGCTGAGTCTGGACAAGCCGGTGCGGGACGCGGTGGTGGCCGGCCTCTCGGAGGCCCCGCCGCACCTGTTCGATGCTGCGGAGCGCGCCCAGCTGGAGGAGCTGCGACGGGACGTGTTTCCGCGCTTCCTGAAGACGCCGTTATTTGAGCGGCTGGCCGGCCTCGCCTGAGGGGTCTGCCGGGGGCTGGTCCGTGGTGGGAAGCGGGGGCCTGTCTGGGGAATCATTGGAAATGTGGTGATGATTCTCGCTTCTACGCTATACATATGCTATGTTCGAGCTCTCACGAAAAGATCAATCGTTTTTGATTGATTATGTTGCCAATGATGATGTATAACGAATTAAAGTAAGGCGACTGGAATAAGTGTCGAAAAAGGTTGCATAAAATGACCAGCGATGTTACCTAATGTCCAGTATTGGGAAAGCTGCTGCAGGCATCAAGGGCTATGGATGCGCTTCCCATCAAATGACGCAACCGCAATTACAGTGAGCATACTGAAACTGTATCGTTGTGTTGTATTCCGAAAGAACAGTCATTTATGATGTTTGGGGCGTTTTCAAAGTTTTTATTTGTATGCTTCTTTCAGAACAGTGCCATGTATGTACTTAGTAGTGACCTGTGCCGTCCAATTGAGTTTTATTAGTTTTCTATGAAAATTGTACTGACCATTGCTGTATCGAGCTCACCGCTACTGTTTGCTTCTGTAAATTGCAGAAGATCTCTAGGAACGAAATGATCCAGGCACTTGGAAAGAACGTACTCTGTTTTGTTTATTAGTTGCAGAGAAATGCGCAGAGTCGTTCAATAACTCAGATATTTGGCGTCTGATGTAAACAATCATGTAAGACCGATCCGATAACCAACTGTCGCGTTTGCTGCCTATAGAATGTATGCGATATGCCCTCGATGCATGCTTAATGCCTATTTTTGATATCCATTGCTGTCTGAAATGCAAAATAAAACGTGTAAAATCTAACCATAGTTTTATACGGGCTTTACTTACATCGCCAGCCGTCATATACTTCACAAGGGAAGAAACACGAACTATAAATATCGAACGTAAAAATGTTCGATGAATATTACATATTTCACATGTAATCAAATAATGACGTTGAATACCTGTACCTACCTAATGTAAATTGCCACGCATAAAAGTCAGTTTATTTTTTAAATCAATTTTCGATAGACATCAATTTTGGTGTACCTACTTAGCATTAGCGAAAAAAGAAGCTAGGTATAAGTTCGTTTTTCTTAAGTTTGCCCCTCACTGTAAACGTCTTTTTGAACACAGCACGAGAATTGCTAGCTGAATTACTGAGAAAACTGGTTGGCGCACATTGATTTGACCAGATTTGACAGACGATCAATTTCATCAAATTTGTTTACTATTTCACGGACTCATAGTTTCATAGTTTTAACTGTCATGTATAACTGTCAACTCACCTTGTCACCTCACATTGTGTGTGTGATGCAAATAAATGTGATGATGATGATGATGATGATGATGATAGCTCGTATTTACCCATACCTACAGCTCCAGTGATGACGACTTGACGACGAGTGAAGTGTGGTTCAGGCCGATCCAATGTGACGAGGTGACCTATACGACCTGGCCTGACCGAAGGTGACCTGGCCTGACCCAGTGTGACCAGGGATGACCACCTTGACCTGACTTGACTCCGTATGACCCAAATGTCATACAACTAAGCCCTCAGAATAGTTCTTATGTTCAAAATTTTCTTCTGCACGTTTCCGTCCATATCTCTGCTTCCAGACGACCGATCAGTTTAAATCAAACACCATTCGAAAGCAAATTGGCTGCTGCCGCATTTTGTGGCTACGCCGCGAAGCAAGTGGCGCAGCCGCTTGTTTATTTACTATTTCACAGACTCGTAGCTCGTATTTGCCAATACCTGCAGCCCCACAGGGATAGAAGACTTCTCAGGAATTATGTCTGAACTAATAAATAAATTGCACGGCGCTTAAAGGGACTATCCCACCTTTAACATGGGGTTTGAGTTGAGATAGCCAAGTTTGCGGCGAGGTTCAGAAACCACTATCTATCTAGGTTGCAATCCCCGCGGCCTCTTGGTGTTGAAGAAATTCGTTCCCTTCATTTGAAAATGGGCCTTGCGCAAGGCCCTATCTTCAACATGGAGCGACCGTTAGTGTGACGTCACCTCGTTTAGTCATTGAAAAATCGCTTAAAACTTGGTCTGAACTTTGTTGTGGTGCCTACACAGTAAAAAGAATCAGCTTTATGACAGTAATGTGGCCTGGGGAAGGAGGTAAGTTTGGGCTGTGACGTCACATATTTGAAAGTTTGTGTTTGGAATATGGGAAGCCTAAGATGTTTAATGAAAAATAAATGCCAGAACCGTGTTCCTGGTCATCCAATCTATAAAGTCGGGCACAATTTAACTGGTTTTAACAACATTTTAGAAGGTGGGATAGTTCCTTTAACATAACGTTAAATCGTCGGTGTTCAAAACTTATTTTGAAAATATTATTCATATCTATAAAACAATGTGCGCCAACCAGTTTTCTCAGTAATTCAGCTAGCAATTCTCGTGCTGTGTTCAAAAAGACTTTTACAGTGAGGGGCAAACTTAAGAAAAACGAACATTGGTATCTACTTCCTAATGCCTAAAACCTGTGCGAATAGCAAACATGTTTTGATCAAGGTACAGGGAGACGATATTGCGTTAGGACACCGCATTATAATCTTTTGCTATGCAGCTTTGCAGAATCGCCGCTTGTTATGACTGCCAGTGGGCATGAGTCTCTGAAGCTAAATCATCTAAAATATCGATACGAGTCCCAGCTGTTTTCCGCACCACATGCATCAGGTAACGGTCGTTTCAGATCCTTGAAGGGACTTCACTCCCCAGCGGACGCTGTGCGGCGCCTATTGCGCCATGAAGAGCCCTCAGCACGGCGCAACCAGGGGAGGCTGCAACACCTGTCAACAGGACCCCAGCGCGAACGGAGGGTACCCACAATACAGCGACTGAGACGTGACACGGACATTACATACAGTCCCGCCCAGCAGGTGCTCACCATATAAATGTCATTAGAACAAAACCCGGGTCCCCATCAGAGAGACATTTATTTAGACGTACTGTGCCAATGGGATGGGAAAAATGAGGCAGATAACATATCAGCACACATCGAAGTCATTTTAACGAGGCATGCTTCATCGTAAAAGTGCTGTTTTGTGGGTTATTTTCGGTGGAATTTGTGGTTAATCAAGTAATGGTCGGCCACACCATGCTGATGTCATTGTTCGCCGAAATCAGGATATGCGAACGTAGGTACCTATATTTCCATAATTTGCTCCCTGGCACATGCACGTAAATTTATTGGACTGCCCAGGGCCAGCCCCCAAGTCATGAAGCATATTTGTATCTGAAATGAAGCCTGTTCTTTGTGAATACATATAAAATATGCCTTGATAACATTTGTCTCTTGATGTGGATTGTGTAGTCATTCTCCTTAGAAGCAGTCGATATAAAGTTAATTTAAAAAAATGCAGCAAGTCGAGGGTCCCTGCAGTAGCGGCGGAGCACCTTCAATTAAGGGGGGGGGGGGAGGTACTGCCGACTTTTGGTCCCATTCTTTCCATGCAGCGCCCATAGGGCTAATGTTAAAATGCCAAAATTAAAGGGGGCACGCCGCACGGTGCCCCGGTGCCCTCCTCGTTCCGCCGCCTATGGATCCCTGTAAAAAAAACTTCAACTTCGACAGTTAAAGCCCATTTCATAATAACATTTGCTCCGCACCGATTGCTCGCTGAAATTATTAGAAGGCAAAAGGTATACCCAACCAGACTGAGCTTGGACTAAGCTTGGTTTCTTAGAGCTTGTGAGCAATATTGTGATTGATCATTCCATTCTTAGCTCGGATCATTTTCCTGTTTTGATGAAAATCAGGTCCCAAGAGGGTGTGAGTGATCTCAATACCTCTGACTCTGAGCAGTTAACCCACGAGCCGCTGGGGGGAGGGGCATAAAGTTGCCCCCCCCCCATTTAAGTTTTGTGAAATATCTCCGAAACCTGATGAGCTACGAACGTGAAACTTGGCATAGCTTTAAATGAATACCTAGGCAATGTTTGAGGAAAGTTGGTGGTTGTAGCACCTAAGATGACGTCACAGTGACGTCATAAAGTTTTGTCGTTTTCCGATATGGACCGTTTCTGATGACGCTGAGCATGAAACTCAACTGTAAATGAACTAGACAGCACCTGCTGTCATCCTGAAACATCTAACTATACTTCCATCTAGTTTCTGACCAATAATCGACCCTTTATATTCGGTCCCATATATCTGATGTATCGTGAGGAATATGAAAGTCGCAAATCTATAATTTCACTTATGACGTCACTGTGACGTCATTTCAAATGGCATCGACACCAAATTTTAACACAACTTTGGCTAGGTATTCAGGAAGATGTGTGCAAAGTTTCGCTTCTCTATCTCTTCGCGTTGCGACGATATCGTCGCAGAAGTAAAGGGGGGGGGGCAACTATATGCCCCCCCAGCGGCCGGCGGGTGGCGCGGAGGCCCAGCGGCCGCCGGGTTAAATGAGCATAGGTGGGCTTTAAATGCATCTGCACCTAGTCTGAAATATGTCGTATTTTTATATAAAATGTGCTTTTTCTCGTAAGCGCCCGAAAGATATCGGCGGTACGGGATACAATTATTAAACCGCTCGAAGGTGGAACACATATTAAACTGCGAGTAGGTAAAACAAATCTTTTAAACGTCGAGCCGATAGGCGAGACGCTTAAAATATTTTTCTACCCACGAGCGGCTTAATAATTTTATCCCGTACCGCCGACATGTTTCGGGAGCTTTAACCCTCGCCCGCACATGGAGGGGGGGGGGGGTTGCCACCCCCCCAGGTAGTCTTTCTGCTCTGCACTCAACATTTTTAGAGCTAGGAAGCTGATTTTTCGTATAGCTGCTCCTCTACCCTTTCTTGATGTTCACTGAAAATTTCACGTTTCTGTGGTTTTTGGTTTCGAAGATATGACCTTGTTTTTCAGGTCATGTCATGACCCAAATGGCCAATTCTCAACATCTTGCGTTGGCTATGGGCCTTGTGAGCTTTTGACACCTTGATTTCGGCCTTTTTTGCCATTCTTACCTCCCACGTATCATGGAACATGTTGTTCGACGATGTACAGATGTCAAGGTCAAGGTCAAGGTCAACCTAGGTCATCTAAGATAATTGCGTTTTAGGCAAGCGGAATTTACTTTTTGTGAAGTTTTTTGACTGCATTTTTGGTAAAAGCTTCTCAGATCATGATTTCATGTAATATGGACACATAAACAATCGGTGCACACATCAGTATACACACAGCTTCACACAGACATACAAACACATATAATTGACCTTGACCTAACTTGACCTGAAATGACCTCAGCAGCAAAAACCTGGTCGGGTAGTGTGACAAAGAGGTTCTAGCTGGCTTGGCACCAGAAAACGGCATCGTCATCGGTATATGATAAGCAGCGCACTTGATATCCAACGGTGACCCAAAACAGCAACATTTTTTAGTTTGACCTGACCTGGAAGGTCAATGACTGACCTGAGAAGGTAAAACTTGGTATCATTGGATTTGTCTCTTCCCAAAGAATCTTTTTGGTCGTTACCGCTAAGCTCTATCTCCAACAGGAACGAAATGACGCGGGGGGGGGGGTGGCAACCCCCCCCCCATGTGCGTTCTAGGATGGGAAAATGGCATGTGCGGGAGAGGGATAAGGTAAAAAATACATTTTATATAAAAATACGACATAATTCAGACTAGAGAAAATGTCTACTACACGTTTAACAGTTTGTTAAACATCTACACGTTTAATAAATCAGTTAAACGACATCTGATAATTTTCTCTCTTTGCACGTGAAGCGATTGTAAACACTCAAGATTACTTTACTACTCGTAAACACTGTCTACGGTGCGGGATAAAAAT